ACACACACACACAAACACAGCAAACACAGTCTAAATCTGTATCCCCAGCTACACTACCTCTGCCAGTTTCCCCCCTCCCCTCCAACCCAGTTTCCTCTCACTTACCCTTTTCTTCTTCATTCTTTCCCGACCCTTTCCTCCCACGTGTTTCATTTCCCTGACAAGTTTGAAGAGAGGGTTTTGAAGAAGATCCGGCGAAAAATCCGCAACAAGCACTCGGCTCAAGAAAGTCGGAAGAAAAAAAGGGAATACGTTGATAGTCTGGAGGGAAGGTAAGAGCTCAGCATCCTCACTCAACACGACATTATCTCTGCACACCTTCCCTTAGAAAATTTACCTTTTATCTGTAGTTATTTCTTGTGCTCTGAAGCACTCTATAATGAGCCTATTCTCTCACACACTTAATTACCTTTAATAAACTGATTGCATGGGTGGAATGGGAACATTTTTCAAGAAGTAATTCTCCACTTTACTATTCCATATCATTGTTGGTAAAGTCTTTTCAACTTGCCGATACCTGGTGTTTATCAGGTGTTTTCTTGAAAAAGCTCCTAAGGCTGCCAGGAAATTCACAGGAGCAGTTTGTTTGGAATAAAAAGACAAAGAGCTGAGTTGTGGTAGCTGTCATGGCTGACCAAACAAAGAAACATCAGATTCTCACAGAAAGTCAAACTTTTTCAAGTGAAAAAGGCTTCACAGAGCTGAACAAAAGCTAATTGATATCTGGGGAATTCAGCACCAAAAACCCCACAGAAATAGAGTTCTCACTGTAGTTGCTAAAATCAAAACACAAGGACCTTGCAGATTTTTTACTTCCACTGATACTGTTTATTACATTTGAGGAAAAAGTTTTTAGCAGACACTTCCACGTGAGAGAACTCCTACTAGGACAAAAGTGCTAATTTTTCAAGCATAAGAAATGTATTATGTCAGGTTATTAAGATGGTATTGTATACTACTATGAGAGTATAATGAGTAAAAGGGGGTCGCTGAGGATGCTGTGTAGATGCAGCATTTCACAATAGAGAGGCTGGAGGTTTTTGCCAGGATGGAGCTTAGTTTAGTCCTCCTCCACCTCCTCTCCCTCCAGGCTGTGCAGAATGAGCCCTACCACACAGCCAGCCTTTGTCACCTATTTGTTAATCCTGCCTGCCTCCCACATGTTGGCTCATCCGCCTCATCACACCGACGCAAACAATGTGGAGTGGTAGAACTTGTAGTTTGATTCATATATTGAAAGACTCCTCAAAACAAAGGGCAGAGCAGCAGTTCCCCCACATGACTCTATGTGTCAGACCCCTCCAAGTTTATTCTTCATCTGCCTCCTCCAGGGATTGCTTGATCTCACTGTTGCTGAGCCTCAGTTGATTACCTGTGCACTATTGGACTCTAAAACATGCCATCATTGATTCATCTCAGAAGAGGGGAGCCATATGGGACTGTGGGGAGGTGCTGGGACCCATATATAAATCTGAAATCAGTGAGGTAGATAGTTTGGGGGCTAAAGATGGACAAGCTGTGACCAGTCTGCAGTAACCACAGTGTTTTTCACCTGAATCAATAAAGACATATTTTAAATTTGCTTCTACCTCCTGTCAATGCAAGACGGATTATGTGCTCACAGCAGGGCCTCAAAATCAACAAACAAACCTTTGTGCGTGTACCCATACATAACAAAAATCCTTAATTATCGAATAGCAGCTTTAAATATCTAACAGTGTGCTATCAACATCTCATTTAAGCTTGAGCTCTGTTGCCTCTAGACAACAAAAGTTTCATGATGGGTGAGATTATCAGCAAAGAGCAGAGTCAGCATTTGTTGGTAATTAAGTCAGCCGCAAGCAGAGTGTATCAACAGGGTATCTATCAGTCGTGGTTCAGCTCAGTCACAGGGCCATAATGCAGGGTGAGTCATAGTGAGTAAAAGAGACAAGGGAGACAGCAAAAGAAGAAGGGGGTTGAGATAACACTCAGCAGGCGGATATTGGCAAAGAGAGAAACGAAGGGGAGACAATGCAACATCAGAACACAGTGTTATTTGATACCCTTCTTTCCTAATTTTAGCTATATACCCCGTGTCTCTTTCTGTAGGATGTCTGCATGCAGCGCAAACAACCTCAAGCTGCAGAGGAAGATCCAGCAGTTGGAGGAGAACAACAAGTGAGTCCTCAGAAGAACCAACCAGGGCTGCCACTCATGATTATTGTCATTATTGTTTGATGTCTTTGGTCCCAAAAGCCAAGGCAACATTTTCAAATAATAACAATAATAGAGTTTATTTGTGTAGCACCGTTTCATATTTACAAAAGGCTTCACAAGAGAAAGATCTAATGAAATGACAGTAAAATAAAAGCATTATAAAAACAACATAAAGTATACAATAACATATTAGAAATAGTAAGTACATTTAAAAAAAAAAAGACAAAAGCAACAAATTATAACATTTGAGAGGCTGGAATGATTGAATATTGTCATTTTTCATTTAATAATGATTCATTTTTAAATAATACTGTTGACTGACTAAAGGATTAATCAATTAATCAGTTGACTATTTCCTAAGCCCTGCCTCCCTTACTTAATACTGTACATACTTGTTCTTGTTCCCAAACAGTA